CCTCTCTGTGGTCCAAGTTGAAGTACTAATGCTACTACCTCCTATTTAAAATAAAAGCATTTGTTCGCCTTCGTAAAAGCATAAAAGAACAGCATGGACTACTATGCCAATATAAAGGAAATACAACAATGAAAGACAGAAGGCCACATAGGGAGTAGAAACTGGAGAACGCTCCCCACAGAGGGGAGTAAAGGACGTAAAAAGGAGAAGAAAAAAAACATAACAAAGTCAAGGTGACTGGTGAGAGCAGGTGGAGTTTTTAGCTGACAGGAAGAAGGAAGCGGGAGAGAGCAAGAGACTGACAAGGGAGTCTGCCGAACAAGAAGAGGCAGAGAGGGAGAGAGAAAGAGCGTGTGACAGAGAAGGAGACAACCAGATTGAGAAGAGACATAAGAGACAGGAAATCTGCAAGCAAATTAGACATCATTAGCCAAGAGGCGGTTAACAAGTCTAATTAGGGGAGAGGCAGGCAGGCAGTGATACTAGACTTGCTTCCGGACCTCAGACACATGCACACAGAGTCAGTGATATAACCCACACACACTCACACACACAAACATAATGCGCACTCTCAGCCAAAGCTCCAGGCATCTCTTAACTAGGTCATATCTCTGAGTCTTCAAGTTGTAGGGTAGGAAAGAAGACGGGTAAGGAGAGGAAGAGAGAGATTGAGGGAAGATAAAGGATGGAGGGTGAGACCTTGGATGGGATAGTTGTCTGCTCTTGGTGAGATGGAGTCGTTTAAAAGCTGTGCGAACGAGATAGCGTGGAAAAGGCTCAGGGAGGAAAATAAAGAGCGCACGCTGACAGACATGTAAGCATATCTAAATAAGCGCACACAGGTTGACTTGTTTACACACCCAACAGCTGCCGTTTTACTTCTGTCATTTATGGAACGTTACATTTGGGATGTGAATGTGAAAGCGTGCTCCGACTGCTGTTATTGTCGCCCACAAGAAAAAAAGTCTGGTACTTTAAATACAGACTCTTAGATTATCTGTTATTATAAAGATTAGTTGAAATGAGGATACTGCTGTATTAGTAGAGCCACCCAGTTTTTAAGTTTTGAGTGATAGCTTGCCAATGCTCCTGAGGGATGGCTGAGCTACATTCCCTTGAAGTGATGATGACTGAATGTCAGTTCTAGAAAGACTAAAAAAAAGAAATGTTTCAGTCAAAGAGCCTCCATCTTTCTGTTCTTCCCCTCTCTCACGGGCCCAGTGATAGAAAATATTGTCTCAAGAACCCGTGATGATCCCTCGTGTCATGTAACACTGGCTGAATACTTCAGACTTCATTTTAGAACTAGAGATTTGGATCTGTATTTTATTGAATGGCATTATATTGAAATGCCCTTTTCCCAAATTCATTTGGAAAAAGGGCATTGCAGCTCCCTCCTCGTGGAATCAGATGCAACATCTCTTAAAACTTTAAGAGCTGGTCTCGCTAAATGTATTTAAGGTGTTTTTAGGTAACCTGGAGGCAGTTACTTCAGGCTACAAATGTTTTTCATGAATATTACGACTCACCCAAGACTATGCCTTTTACTTATGTTTTGGGCTTTATTGACAAAGAACTTCAAGAATTTTGGTGGTTTTTGCTTTTTTACTACTTGTACTACTTTTTTTATCACTTGTAGTAGATTTGCATACTTGCCTGTTCTGTGTGTATTTACTACTGTTGATTGTCCTGGACATCATTTTGGGGTTGGAACACAATGCTAAATTTTGCTCTACAAGGGCCTGATATCCTCCCTCCTCTTAGAAACTATATCAGGTAAAAAGAAAATTCTTTGTTTTTAGATTCATCAGGTCACAATAAGCCCAAATAGCAAAGAGAAATTTAAAAATGCATGCCATGAAAAAGTTTGGGTCTTAGGAAGTTAATTTTAGATCGCATTACATTTTTCAGTAACACAGTAATGTAACGCATTACTGGGCTAAATACAGTAATGACATTATAGCTAGAATGACGGTGTTACTTGCGTTACAAAGCTCCTTCAATTATCTGAGGAAGATTGAGCAAATAAACAAATAAATAAAAAAAAGAAAAAGCAAAAAAATCAAATGACTGCTTTGAAGTCTCTTTGGGCTGGCTTTTAACTCTTTGTGTTCTTGGTTTTGTGTTCATGTGTAAACACTAAAAGAAAGATCCTATTTGCCATCATCAGGACAGGGATTTGTGTCAGTGTGTGGGACTGTAGCCTCAGGTTTATTCTGTTAAGTGGCTTGGTAATGCGTAACTAATGTAGCAAACAGCGTAACTGATTACTTTATCTGGCAAGTAATTAAGTAATGTACTACATCACTTTTAAGGAAAGTAATGAGTAATGTGCAAAACTTGTTTTTTTTTAGTAATGCCTCCGACATTGAAAAAGAGACTCTATAAACAATAAACACTAATAGAAACTAATAGTGGCATTATTGAGCACTTCCACATGAGACTAACGGTAAAACTGTACTCAAATATGACACAATGAAATTTACACTTTTCTACTTTTTTGTCTTGATTCTGAATTGACACTTGAAGCTGTCAAAACAATATGTGAAATTATTCACAGTGGTTTGTTACTCTTATCTATCAGAAAGAGCATTTCTCATTCTTTGTTTGCAAATAATGTTTTAGCACATTTAGGCAAATGACCAGACACAGCTGCTGGGAATTGCGACAAATGTCAGTTGGATTTGTTTTTGTCAGCAAAATGCATTTTACTGTTTTTCTATAAGACGAGTAGTTTAACTCTCCAAAGTTAGTTTTTTCAACGTGCAGGTCATCAAATGTAGAATAGTACAGAAAAGCCGACATTTCATAAATTGCATTGTTATGGAGTGGCTGATGTGATCAACCAGTAAATTTGTTTCCAGGTGAAACGCAAGGAAAGCTTCAAGGAAGGCATATATTGCCCAGCTAGCTTTGCTCCTTCAAGTCACACTACATAGAGACTGTTGCTGACTGGATGTTTGGTAAACTTAGTATTCTTTAATTGATTTTGAGTGGTTGCTGGAAGTTTCTGCGTTTCCTGGCAAATTGCTGGCAAGATGTGTAGTCCCGGACTAAGTAATTAACGGTTCTGGTAGCTTGCTTGCTATCGCTAGCTTAAATTGGACACAAAGAGATATACGGTGGTGCACCAAAAAACACCTTGCGGTTACTTTGGTTACTAGGAGACTTTACAGGTTTAAGTCATGAGTATTTTTTTTTACAATTTTATGACACTTGAGAGACACAGAGTTACAATCATTTCTGATTCTGCTCAGAGAAAAACATTGAAGCTAAAGCGTGCCCTTGGAGAAGAAACAGGAGTAATAATGTGTGATATTACAGTATATGAAGGGGGAGACAACACAAAATAGGAAGATGTATTTTGATTTGTTTACTGTTTTGTCTCCTGTTACACTGCAATAGAAAGCATTTAGCATCAGTAGTTTACATGTATTTTTTTCTTTTCTATCCAGTGCAGTGTTATTGTTTTCCATTCTCAATTACATTACTATCCCTGCAAATTTACATGCAAATGTGAGTGCTCTTTTGCCTGACAATGTAAAACGTTGTGCTCCTGAAATCAGCATCTAAACAGTATTCAATTAGCAGTCAGTTATCATAATAATATTCTGGTACAGTGGGCATTCAGCAAGAGGACAAAAAAAAGGAGGACAAGAATTAGGACAAAAGGAGATGAGAAACACACTTCTAGGATTTTCCAGGCTCATCTTGTTTCCTCCCACAGCCCAAATACAGTATTTTTGGTTAATTAGTGATTCACAATTGGCTGTAGGTGTGGATGTGTGTTTCTCCATTATCCCTGTGATGGACTAGCATGGTGTACTCAACATTTCTCCACTGTATGCTGGGAAAGAATCCAGACCCCCCTGGTAACTCTAAGCTGGATAAGGCCCCAATCTCACAGGCTTAGAGACCAGTCGGTGACCCCCTTGCTACTGCTGATGATTTGGAAAAAATGTGGAAGGGTTGCTGGCTGGGTGAAATCAATTGCAAAAATACTTGCTGAATACTAGAATCCCGAGCCTCCTAGTAGATGCACCTATGATATCAATTTCAAAATCCTACGTTGCCTTGTTCTCAACTTATTGCATTCACAAGATTTTCAGAAAGCCTGGCCTTTGACCTGAACCTTGAGATCGAGGTCACTGAGATTTGACCTCGCCCAGGATTTTTAGTAGAGACACTTGTGGTATCAATTTCAAATTCCTATGTCTCTTCATTCTTGAGATATTGGATTCACAAACATTACCAGATGCAATAAATAAGGAATCTGCAAAACTGCATTATGCGAATCATTACTTCTTCTTCTTTATTGCATTTTTCAGCTCTACACCTGCCCCCTAGGATGAGGAGGATGTGCGTGGACTCTTTTGCACTTCTAAACCGGACACCATTACCTCCCTGCCTGCTGCCATCGGCATAGCCCGCATTGGCTCTACATAGATTCACCACAGACCTCCAGTAAATGGACCCTGTGACAATGGACAGATGGACGAATAGATAGCGAGCTATAGGCTATTTACAAAAATCCACCTCTATTAAAAAGGATTATTCTTTATTATTTAGACCACTCTTGACTTCTGAATTCCATGTGAAGTTTGCCATATGTGTTTTCTTTTTTATATTTATACTCTCCAAACTTTAGTTTACACTTCTGACCAACACTCAAGATGTTTTCTCGTATACAACCAAGGCCCCCCAAAGACACAGAGAGATTAAAAAAAGCTGTTTTGACAGACTGTGGCACCCTCCCTATAAGTAGTACGTTGACTGTGAAACTAGTGAAGTGCACCTTTAAAAATGAAATGCACTTGATTTATGAATTCAACATTTTCATGCTTTTTTTTCCCTACTTCAGCTGGAGTTGCTGAAACAGAAATACTGCTGACTGGCTGTCAGTGAAGTGGCACCAAATTCATTATGAATTCCTGACATTTTTCTAATTTATCACATGAACACAGCTGTGTACAACGCAATGTCAATGTTTCACTTATTACCTGTCTCTGGATGGCACGTTCCATGCTGGTGGCAGTTGCATGGAACGCATGTCGAGAGAGGCCCTCTAGCAGGCTCTTCCCGGGTAAATCCGGGGGCACACTGTTCACAAAACTGGCCCGCAAAGCCCGGGGGACAGGAACAGGATTCCACCCACAGAGCAGGAGGAAAGGCTGGGTCAGCTGAGACGACTGCTGAGGTCATGGTTACTCCTGCGAGCTGTGATGTGTCTGGCAAGGAAGGAAAAGGAGGAATGTCAAAGATGTTAATACAAATCTTTCTCTGGAATAAGCGACAGGTGCAAGTGTGTGTGTGTGTGTGGTGGTGGTGATAGTGGGAGGTCTCTGCATCTTGTTAAGCAGTAGGTTATTAGCATTTGTTGCAGTGCCGTCCCTCTCTCCCTGTCTCATTATAGGTTTTGGCCTGTGTTTACATTTTACAGCCAGATACACACATGCACCCACACATACACACTAACACAATAACCGATTCATCCACCCACACGGCCATAAATGCCGCACTTAATGCTTGCTTACACACATGTGCCTGCACGTGCCCACACACGTACACTTGTGATCCAGGGACTCTTTGATATAGCAAATGAATAAATCACTGCAGCAGAGCAAGACAAGAAAAAAAAAACCAGACAGGAGACTCTGTGGAGGTATGTCAAACGTGCAGTTCCTGTGGGGTTTTCAAGATCCCGCTCTCCTCTCATGAATAGTGATGGGGGCAGGCCATGCTGAACTGTATCCCTCTCACCCTTTACTGCCTGAGCCACAGCCGCAGAACACAAAATTACTTTTGGTGTACATTACCGTGTCCGTTTTCAATAGCCAGACAGACGATAGACGGACAGATTCTATGCACGTATGACTATGTAGCAGTTGTCAGATAAGGAATAAACCAAGTGTGGATGAGCGACTGCATAATGACATGAGTGGCAGAAACGGCGAGGGGCGAGACAGTGGAAGAACCAGAGGAGAGGATGGACCTTGACATCTAACAAGCCATGATTCAGAGATTCCTTGAGCGGTGATGAAAGACGGTTCATTTACACCTCTGAGGGATAATCAGTAGGCAAGCCAGTCCTCTTCCCTTTCCGCAACTTGCCTTAGCCTCTACCCTTTACTCTCCAGTAGCTCCTGAATTCTATTAGCTCGTTCAACGGGTGGAAATGTGCAATTAAAACAGTTTTCAGATACTGAAGCCTATATTTTGGTTAATTAAAAGCCTTCCATTTTAAGTCGTGCTGCGCAAGTTCTCTCCATCAATCCTTTTTCTGCAGGAAACCTTGTCAGAGCAGTTGAGATTTTACTTGCAACAAATGACTTTACAGCAGCCTGGCAGACTCTGACAATTTAGGTCTCCTTAGGCGCCTGTACATTTAACCATTAAGCCATTGATTTCCCATAAACTTTCAATACGGCCACACTTGCTTTTCAAACCTAATTTTTTTTTGTGGTGGGGAAAATAAAAGCTCTTTACTGCGACTGTCATCACAGCCTTGCCTTAGTAACCTAAAGACAATACTGTCACTTAAGTAATACAGTTCTGTTAATAAGACACTCTCTGTGGTGCAGGGAGAATTTTAAAGAATGAAGGAAAATGTGAGAGGCAGAGATGAGAATGATGAGAGGACAGCTTTATGGGGTTTGGATATTAAAGTTTGTTGCACCGCCTGCAGCGATAAAGCACTTCTAACACTGTTTGAGAATGAGTTTGAGACCTAACACAAGTTATTAACAGTTTCTCCCCCATAATGTGCAAAAGATGCAGTGTAAACTGTGTGCTTGACTTTGATACCACGTTCATGTGGGTAGGTAGGTGGGTGGGTACAGAAAACAGTTTGATGGAATATGCATGAGTGTGCCTGTGTGTGTGGGTTTTTTTTATTTTTGTGCCTAAACGCCATGCATGTGGAACTACATAAGAGTCTGTGTGGTGACGCCTGCACCAGGCAGCTAATTAAAATGGTGTAAGTAAGTGTGAGGAAGCTGGTGATTTTGTCCAGCTGTTCTGTCTCCTCCACGCTTTAATCCACCGTAATGCCTCTCAGATCCCGCTGGTTCATTACAATACAAACTATCAAATTTCAAGAACTCATCGCAAACATCTGGGAATAAATGTCCCGTTCTGTTGCAGAGCCAGATAGGGGACAGTTGAACGATTCCTCGAGCACAAACACCAACACCGATTTACTAGCAAGTTCTGCTGCAGCTTGAATAATGTGTTCCTGTCTGGTTAAAGAAAACGGTCATAAAAAACAATGATTTTAGTAATTTTGTAGGCCTCTAAATGTTGGCATTATTTGTAAATAGTGCTTTCAGAAAAATAGATTTGATAGATTTTATTTGCTCCTACAGCACATACCACCCATTTAAGGCTCCAGTGTAAGTCATGTAAAAATGAATTGGATATGCTTGTTGGGACAAGTTCATAAACACAAACCAACACTTACAGTTGTGTCCCCCAGCATTGCTGATCTTGAGAGCCGTCAGGTTGTAAAGGAGGAGTTGGAAGTCAAAGGCAGAAAGAGCAGGTTTAAATCTCTTCTCGTTTTCATCAAGCCTGTCAAAAAGGAAAACAGCAAACGTGTCATTTATTTAATATTTGCTAAAAGGCCTGCAGGGCTTTATCAAAATTTTAATTTCGAATGTAGTGACCTGTCGAACAAATTTTAAAGACTGTTGGACACATGAAACACATGCAAATGGAGAACATTGCATGGCATTTTTAGGGGGAAGATAATATTAACCTATTATATATGAAAATCCAAAGAATTGGGATTTATAATAAATGATTTCTAAAAACATATAAATGTTAAGATTTGCTGACAATGTTCATTCATTCAATCATACTGGCTCACCCAGACATATATACACAGAGATAGGGCTGCTCGATTATGGCAAAAATGATAATCACGATTATTTTCACTGAAATTGGGATCTCGATTATTTGACGATATTTATTTAACCCTTTAAGACTTACCATAGAACCAAGTCCACCAGAGCTTATATTATTTATTTTTTTACATGCTGTAGTGCCATTTTTGGAAGCATTTCAAGTTGCTATACATCAATACAACTGTTATAGCCCATATTTTAATAATATGTATGCATTAAGCCCATAGTAATTACATTAATTGCAAAAAAGTGCAATAAACTACAAAAAAATTGAAAATCGTTTTTGTTTTTTACATATATTTCTACTTGGAGAAATTTAAGAGGCTTATCCCTCAAAACTTTAAATACAAAAAAGTTGCAAAAAATAGTTTCCCACCACAGGAAATTTATTTTGAGTGTCTTCATAGTTTTATTTTGGAGATACAGCAATTTTTATATACTGCAGGAAAAACAAAAAAACAATCCTATGATGCAAATTTGCAAAGAAAACAGCATGTGCATCAAAATAAACTATTTCCAGCAGTGCAATATGAGTTCCAAGCATCCCAGCAACTATTCAGAAAAGTCAAACATGACTTATAAAAACACCAGTATAGGTTTTTAAGGCCTACAAGTAAAAAACTACATTTTCCGCGAAATGACGTCACTTCTGGTTTCAGACAGGAAATGGCGGACATGCGATAGTTCCCGTTGAGTCTTTTTCAATGTGGGAAGTGTTACGAACAGCTGATCGGATCGGCAAAGCGTGTTTCTGGAATATTATGTTTTTGTTCCTGCAAACGCTTTTTATGCAATTTTTGCAAAGCTATATGTGGAAGGAAACCGTGACTGAGGACAAGCTGATGGCATAAGATGTAAGTAAAACTGTAACAAAGTTTACACACTGTGTCTACTTGATCCACGTCTGACTCCGCAAACCCATAATGTTTCCACACCACTGAAGTTTTTTTTTTTACCTCTCTTTTCAACCAACGGCAGTCACTCTCCTCTCCAAATAACTTCTGCTTAGCTTTCCGAGCTTCCCTCGAGTCCTCTTAATTGTTGTGAGGCGTGTTCGAAATGCAGAGAGGTGCGCTCGATTTGCCACACGGAGCAGCGTGAGAGTAAAGCACGAGGGCGGGGCTAATAATTGGCTCAGTCATTTTTAATGATCGTTGAAAGCCCAGATCGTAATCGTGATTAAAATTCGATTAATTGAGCAGCCCTACACAGAGACGTATGTTACAAGTAAAAAGAGATTTGTGTCCTACACATACAAAATATGATTAATCTAAACAATTCGATCAACTGTCTTATTGCCTCTTGTGATAGATCATATGATCCTTGCATATGTCTTGACCGTCTATGTCAGTTTACATCATGGCAACCAACTCTTTCTTGAGGGTTTTCTTTCTCCAGACATGCTGCTTTTTTGCACAAGCTCTTCAGGTTTCTTACACTTGTTTTCACACTGTTTATGTGCCAAAAGAGAAATGAGTTAAACCAGTTTTGAAATGTGATTTCACTAATTCATGAGCCCGAGGCACTTTGTCAAGATAGCCATGCAGTAGTGGTTACACTTTGACTTGGATTGTCAGCTTTGTTCTTCATATTTCAACTTGTGATCTTTAAAAAATATTACAACTTCAATCTTAATACTTTTAGCTCATTTTCCACATTTAACTTTGTTCCCCATGTTTTCCATAATGCACCCCTAAAAGTTGGTATGAAACACAGAAAACAATTCAAAAAAGCAAACAACCGAATGTAAACATGCTGACTTCAACATATATTCAGGGTCTTCATCACAGAGATTTGCCATCTGTTGGAGGATGTTCTGCTAAGGCAGTCAGCACAGCTGACATCTGCCTGTTTTACTTCTGGCATCACGCGTACTTTCCATCTTGATGACAGGTGCTGTGTCAGCTCTGCGCCGTGTTGTTGTGTTGAAAAATTTTCACCCGCTGTTGTGTCAAGGTCCCAAAGGTAAGGAACAGCCGAATTAAGTGATATATTCATATACTCTCCATTAAGGAATGACTTACAGGTAACGTTGTCTAATATATGGGACTCAGCACTGCATCATTACCAAATCGTGTTTCCCATTAATAAAAATATGCTCCATTAGTCAAGCTATCGAGTCTGCGGTTACAAATGCCGTCCCAATACATGGAATTTAACCCACTAAACATTTTTATAGTACAGATAATACCAAGGATGAAATAGTAAGAATTACACCTAGTATTTGCTGGCTATTGCTTTAAAATTTAATTTGAATGTCCAAAAAACCATTAGATACCTGTTTTAGAATACGGGGATTGCTTAATTCATCCAGCACCATCACCAACCCCAAAAAGTTTAACTTGTCCAACACTTTAACTTATTCTGAAAATATCACCTTTGTATTAGCCTCAGCTTTAATTTGTGTACCAACCTAGGACTAAAAAATATAGCACACATTGAAGTGCCAAGAAGTGTAGTTCCTCAAATGGACAAATGTAGAAATATGCAGTCTGTGGCCAGACAAGCTTGCTAGCATTAAGTGAAAACTTAGCTTTAACCATGTCCTAATATGATCATTTCCAGCTCCAAAAATTAAACAGACAAATAAATAGTTCATTTAAAAAAAAAAAATATGTGGAAACATACATGGAAATACTGTGTTTAAAGCAAAAACATTGTTTGTACAATTCTAATAAGCTTGTAAGTTAATATTTGGAATACTGAAACATATTTAAAATAAAAGCCGACACACTGAATTTAATATTTTTTATTTTATGTTTTTTTATTTAATTGTAATTCTGAGCATTTTGTGGCTTTTGGTGTTTTGGGAAACTAAAAATAATAATCAAAATTCAATAATAATGATGATAATAATAGCCCTAAGGTCTTATGATGTCTTTCTAGCGACTCTTCCACTGAGAGCATTTGGGATGAAGCTTCACAAACAGTAGATGAATCATCTGAAGGACCAGGTGCATCTCTCAGGTTTTTTGCCAGGTCATTAATTAGTTGAAAATTGTTTCCCTTGTTAGCTAAATGTAAAGAAATGGGGACTGATTCAAGACCTTTGCACAACACTCAATAAATAATTAAATAAATGAAAAAGCAATTGCAATAAAGCTAAAATACGGGCTTCATAATTGGAGTGAACAAACTAGTGGATGCCTTTTATCTTTTACAGTATGTGTTCAATGTTAAAAACAGCGCCATGCCTTTTCAAAGCTAGTGTCATTGTTCACGCTTGTTTAAAAAAAGAATAAACACGATGGTTGTGCCCCTTTCTTTTTTTTTGAAATTGGTAATACATTATGAAATCAAAACCTTGTCATCACAGACAAGAACCTTAAAAGAATGAATTGCGAAACCCTTGGTTTGTTAACCATATCAGGCTAAGTCAGGCTTTTTATGTGCAAGTGTTTGAGGGCCTCTATTTTATTAGGTCAATTGTTCTCAGCATGACACTAGCTCACTTTGAAAATGCTTTGTTTTCTGCCTGGCCTGGGTTGTAGCATTCAGATTCACACTGTGCATGTTTATGTGTATGTATGTGTGTGCGTGCGTGCATTCCTGGCTTGCCACACACTCTCACCGGATGCGGCGGGTCCTTGTTCCCTGGCCTGACATGTAGGCACAGTAATAAAGAGAGGCAATTACAAACTGGGCCTCAAAGCCATGGTAATGGAGCTGGTCAGACAGCGATAAGCAGAGTGTGCATGAAAGTGAACAAACTCCCAGTCATGCTTTCCCCATGGAGCGTCAGTGTCCTTTTTAATCAGCACCAAGCAGAGCGCGAAGAGCCACACTGTAATTAAGGCTGCTCCACGGAGGATGAGAGGAGATCATCAGGAGAGAAAAGCCCAAAAGAATAGCGGGCACACACAAACACAAACGAGCACACACAAGTACCCTTAGAGAGGACAGATAGAGATACAAGGTGAGCAAGATAGCAAGACACAAGCAGTGTATAAAAAACAGAGGAATGATGAAGTACATGACTGCAATGTAGATACCAAAAGATACAGGCATACATGTGGGAACATGTTATGAGCTATCCATTGTGCCAATCTGTCGTTGTCTAATTAAAGTAACTAACTATGAGGTTCATTTTAATTACTAGGAATACAAATACATGACCCAAAAACTGGCATATTAAACCCAAGTTACTTGGAGTAAATGATGGTTTCAGACCAAGCTATGTTCGGCAAACACTCAAAGATATTTACAATATATGCTTCTAATGGAATAAAATAAAATATTTATTTATTTTGGAAGCAAGCGAGAGTGATGTTATAGACTATAAAAAATGGATGTAGCCATCATTTAGTTGCAAATTGGTTTGTGGACTTGCAGTTCTGATTTGAGCATTTAGGCCACTGAGGGCACTCTACTCTAACAACAGCGATCCCCTTTTTGCCATTAGAAAGAATGCCTGGAGGCTAACACCGTGTATATACTCGGTGTGGGTCTGTGACGCAGATTTGTTCTTTAATATTTCTTCTACACCTTCTGCACAACAGAAACATTTCAGAAACACAGCACTTAGTTTACACAAGGTCTTTTATTTTGAAAATGTCCTGACCCATATGCCTTTCCAAACTATACGGTTGGTGCTGTGAGGTAGAGAGAGCCATGGATTTACAAGCATTGCAATATGATGCAGCTGGCCCCAGTGGAAATCACATA